ATGTGCAATTTACTATGTAATCTTTTCTTTATTTTTATTCTTATATATATGTTTACAATGATACAAACACTATTTCTAAAATTATTTATAAATAATGCTTTATATGCGTCTCAGCAGCATACAAACCGATACAGCCGAATGTACAATCTTGAAATTTGTATTAATATTATTGTCATAGAAAACATTTCTTAGTTTTAATTTATCATCTATGCCATTTTCGCTTACCGTTGAAAAACTTTTTAAACTGAGAATAAAAATGTTATACGCATTAATAGTAACCATACGCATACATTTTAACATAACAAATAGCATCATCTTTTGCTTCCATATAGATATATTATGCCATTTTGTATAATATCTATAAGATATATATCAAAGTCTGCGTAAGTTCATAATAATGTCAAACAAAAGAATAAAAGAATATTAATAACTAATTCTATTAATAGATTTATATGGAACACAACTATGGTTGCCATCTATCTTTTCTTCTGAAGACTTTTTGAATCTGCTTTTTGAATCTCCCGGAAATAGAAATTTCTGACTAATCATTTAAATTTTGAGTTTTTTTATTGAGAGAGAGAGAGAGAGAGAGAGAGAGAGAGAGAGAGAGAGAGAATATGTATATACATATATATGTAGATATTGTTTACTCTAGTTTTCAAAATCTCTGGCAAAAAGTTTATTTTTTGATAATGTTTTTTAAAGGAACATTACAATAATTATAATACTGATTTTAAATTGATTGATATAATGAATAAATAGATTTTCGGTAAACTAGAATTCTAAAGATGGCAATCGTAAATACAACATATGTAACTAACATATTTATTTCATAATACTCACATTTGTTTGAACAGATGCGTATTCATATCAATTAATTGTTGACCCATATAACTATACATAAATATGTAAGCTAATTGTCCAACGACATAAAATAAAGATCTAATAGATCGGTCCAATGTTCCAGTAAATTTAATTATCTAAACCAGTGATATAATTATCTTTCAATTTAATTCTCAACGACCCTTTTACGATTTACTTCATTAAATTTATTCTATGGTATACTATATTAATTTGAACATTCTATATGAAACTCACTCACTTGTACCATTGTGAGGCCTATCAGTATTACTGTATCTAAAAGCTCGACAAAGAGGCTCAAACCGTAGCACGATTGAATAAGATCGACAAACCTTGGATCGCAGGAAAATGTTCGCACATTAATAATAGGATTGCGCTGTAATTTCGATAAGATAAATTGATATTTGCAATATCACATATTTACCCGATATAAAACGTACCTAAAAGAAACGATTCATCGTTTTATATTTACGATTTCAAAAAGCGCGTGCAACATTTAACTTATACGCTGAATGATAATCAAGAAGTTTTTGTAAATAAAAATTTATTATTTTATAAGTAAACAAAATTGAATTAAATTTTGCAAACAAAATATGTTATTTTATGTATACAGTATAAAAGAATATGAATTTTGTATAATCTTGTAAAAATAAATATTATAAAAGACTAATAAACAACGCAATTACGTAGTTTAGTGATTTGTTCAGAAGTCTGCATGGACATTTTCATGAAAAGTATTTGATAGAATCTTCCAATAACAATTATTAAAACATATCAATGTGTAATATAAGTTTTATTTAATAATTTCAAATTATTAAGTAAAATCTTTTAATATTGTTCGAGGTTAAATTATTATTTTGGAAATATAAATCATTAAATTATATTGATCAATTAAACTGTTGTTCTTTTTTTAATATTTAGTCTAAGAAATTTAAATTTATTTTTCGTAATATGTTAATAAAAGTTTAATTGATTTTGCAGAGTTGTCTATTTTTGCAGAGTATTTTGTTCAAATTGTATGTTATAAAGTAACTATTATTTAATTTCCATAATCTGCTTGATTATTATTCTACACGTACATGAAAACAAATATTACTAATATTTACTGACTGTAAAACATTGTGATGATCTTCTATAAAAATAGCAATGCTTCCAAAATCTTTTCCATGGTTGGGTCGATTCTTGGGCAATTGTCCATTGCTAAATGATTGCTTTGCACGATGCCTGTATAAATGTTTAGAAAGTAGGTCAATAAATTTTCGATATGCGAATTTTTCAATATTAGAATTGAAGACGCAAATATGAGTGCATGATCTCTATTTTATAAAACGTAATTTTTAAACGCGATTGTAACATTTAAACGAAATAAGCTTTTTTCGAGATGACATTAATAAGTTTAATCATTATCAGACATTTTTGGTCATTTAATAAATAGAAAATCAATCACATAGATACATATATACATAGATATTTTCATGATTAAAATAGCTAAATCTAAATATGAGCGATATCGTAAATTATATGTACATTAAATGTCAAGTATAAAACATAAAATTCATGTTCTAAAAATGTACTAAAATATGCATGTATAGTACCCCAGTATAATGAACATTCCGCTGACATGTTGCATATAAACGACGAATATTGTCCCATTGGCAATAATTTCTCCCAATATGAATATAACATAAAAATACATTATAAGTCGTACGATATAAAAATGTTTTTGCTGGTCTACGAACATTTCTACATGGAACGGATGTTCGCGAGAACGTGACTCGTTCAGTGGCAGAAATATATCGAGAATTTGTGGGAGAAATGTGCTAAGCATATGCATGCATATACCTATGAACGAAATAACTGAAAAATAAATAGCTGATAAATAAATAGATTAAAATCAATCAGGTTATATGCTAATATTATACACACACACACACACACACACACACACACACACACACACACACACATTGTTT